CAGTGATGCAAAGGTTCCCTCGGAGTCACTGTCCAGGTCCTTTTTAATAAAGAAATCTCTTTCTCACGGCTAAAATATCCAAGTCTTAATAACATTTAACATAACAAGAACCTCATTCATATATATTGCTATAGGAAGATTTAATGTTGACTCAAATTCTTGTCCTTTTTCCGAAAATGGGGTTTATAGCTCCACATTTTTAACAAAATAAAAATTTTGTTCCTGCAAGCTATATATTCTGTACTTGAATTTATATTATTATTCTCATTATTGCATGCTTAACATATTGTAAACAGTGGCCTAGACTTTACATTTATTACTTGTAACTGCTGCAACAATCCTAAAGGTAGGGGGTCCTTTTCTAGAGCTAAGGAAATAAGTGAAAGGTTGAAATACCTTTACAAGGATAAACCACAACTTCGGTTTTATATGCAAATCAGTTATTTTTTTCTCAAGATAAAACTTGAGTTATTTTAGGGGAAATAAAATTATATGACAGATTACTATCTCTCTAAAAGGTTTAGATTCAGTCTTCAAGTCAGATTTTTGCAGTTAACTTTGTCAAAAGAGATCTTTTAGTTTTTCCCCAGGAACTTTATGAAATTGAAAAGTTAGGGATTAATCTTTATGGTTAATTACGTGCAATAGCATGTGGAACTCCTTTGAAAAATACAACTTTGAACCCATGAAGTCATTGGCTAATGAGCTTTATCCATAGATAAGGAAGATGATCAAATGAGTTCGTAACTGGAAACTAACACTTCCAAAAGTTTAAAAAATAAATATAGAGGAGACCAGATAGAGTGACACCTTGTAGTGGCATTATCTGAAGATTGCTGATTGATTGATCTTTTAATTTAGATCTAGGGCATATTCAGTACATTGGCATTATTAAGGATCATTTTTTCTTCAACTTAATATTGTGATAAAATGATGAAATCCATTATATATGGTATAATATATAATAAATAAAATAAAGATATAAATCCATTATATAATATGTAAATACCATATCATACATATTTTATATACATACAAAATCAACTGAATTCACATCAAACTGAACCTGTGCCTTTCTTCTAATGTGCAAGGGTAATATTCATATTCCTTTCAATCTTCATTAAATAAATGTGTAGACGCTACAATATTCGTAAGACAAATTCAGGAGAAAAAAAAACTGTAAGAGGTTGGATAGGTTCAACTTTTACAACTTGTTTTAATTAATTTAAAATAAAAAATGTAAATTACCTTAGGGCAATCACATAAATATAATTAATCAATAAGTATTTTATTAAAAGTTTATGTCCCTAGACTTGTGAGCAGAGCCGGATGGGATGCAGAAGATATATTGCAGTAGCTAGGGTATTTCTAGCTGCTATAGATAAACTCTAAATCTCAGTGGCTTAACACAGTAGAAGTATCTTTCTTTCTCATGGTAAGCTCTCTTGGGTATTTTTGATAGGCAGGCTATTCTTAAGGTTTAGGAACTCAGGCTTCTTCCAAATTTTTGCTCTCTCATCTTTTTCATGTGGCTCCCAAGTCCAGCCTGCTCATTTGTTTCAAGCTGGGAGGGGCAAAGACATGAGAAATTCCGTATGGAAGGGGTTTTCTGGGAGGTTGGGGGGAGATTTTGATAAGCCTGGTCCTGAAGTGGTGTACATCCTTCCCAGCCCCTCTTCCGTCGTCCACTGGCTAGAACTCAGCTGTGTGGCTACATGTAACTCAAGGGAGGTTGGGAGACGTGGTATAGCTCTGTGCTTAGGAAGAAGACAGTTTGGAGTAGGATAGAGAAATCTTTGAGGTAGATATAAAGTCACTGAATTTTAGACCTGAAATTGTTCTTATTATTTAGACATATATCTATCATTTTGTGGATAAGGAAATGAGGCATATAAAGTTTAAATGACCTGCCTATGTTTATATAAAGTAGAAAAATTAGGATACAAATTCAGTTATCTTGATCTCAAGACTAAGTTCTTCCATTTCTCATCATAGGCGCAATCTAGTAAGGGAGGCAGGAAGTAACTAACTACACATCATGCAGTTACAGAACCCTGACAAGGCCATCAACTGGTGCTCCTTCCCCTGACCTGGGATAGTGTAATTGGTGTGCAGCCCAAAGACTGATTTTGATGGATCCACATGGCAGTTGAAGAATTTTAGCATAATACCCTCAAGGTCCATCCATGTTGTTGCTAAGCGAAATAAGTCAGACAGAGAAAGCCAAATACTGTAGGATTTCACACATGAGGAAGAAAACAGCAACAAACCAAATACATAGGTATAGAGATTAGATTGGTGGCTATGGGGATGGGGGAGGGTGAAAGGAGTGAAAGGGCACACGAGTGAGGTGACTGATGGTAATTCATTTTTGGGTGGTAAACATGATGCAGTCTACACGGAATTCAAAATACAATGATGTACACTTGAAACTTATATAATGTTACAAACCAATGTTACTGCAATAAAAAGTAAATGAATAAAACTATGCTTTTACAAGGAAATTTTAAAGTAAGTTGCTGTCTTAGTCTGCTTTGTCTACCATAACACAATACCATAGACTGCCTTAAACAACAGCGATTTATTTCTCACATTTCTGGAGGCCGAGAAGTCCAAGATCAAGGTGCCAGCCAGCTCCGTGTCTGGTGAGACCTCTCTTCCTGGCTTGCAGACAGCTGCCTTCTTGCATTCCTACTGGACACATAGAGCTGTATATTTTTGTTTCAACAGGAGACTCAGAAACAGGAGTGTCTTGCCAAATTACATTGTTGGGACATGGAACATACCTCACAGGACACTTAGGTCCTCATTCTGAAAATTACATCCTATCTGGGTCTAGCACTTGACTCGTCCATTTCAATCTTCTGCATCTTTCCCTTCTTGGACAGACTACTTTGGAGGCACAGATCATAGACCCTGGGTCCGTGTACACCTGCCACCACATTTAGAAAATTCTCAAGGGTTAAGTGAAGCAGGCAGTTCAGTCGCATCCATAAAGAATAAGAATGGAGGTCCTAGCGTTTCTGTATAAACTTGTTAGCCACTCCAAAGATGATCTGTCTAGATCACAGATTGGAATAATGTTCCAAGTCTTGCAGCATGGGCTCCATGTAGACAAAATAAAGAGACCACACTCTTGTACTTCTTTGGCCTCCGTTGCTATGAAGTGGGGATGATAGGAGTATCAGCTAATACAGCTGTGTAAGGATTCAATGATCTGATACGTGTAAGCTGCCTAGACTAGAGCTGGCATGTACAGTCACGTGCTGCATAATGATGTTGCAGTCAACAACAGCCGCATATATGATGGTAGTCCCATAATATTAGTCCCACATAGCCCAGATGTGTAGTAGGCTATCCCACCTGAGTCTGTATAAGTACACTCTATGATGTTCACACAATGAAGAAATCACCTGTTGACTGACACATTTCTCAGAATCTGTCCCTGTCATTAAGCAGCCCACGACTGTAGTAAGAACTAACAAATTTTATTATGTAGGGGGGCAGTATATCCAAAAGGTTAAGAGAACAAATTTTGAAGTCAATTCAGTTTTCATTTGGACCTTGTGTCTTCCACTTCCTGGTTATATGAATTAGGCAGATTATTAAGTGTGTATTTTCTTTATGTGTAGAATGGGCAATAAAGAATACCAACCTCATCAGGCTATATAAATAAACGAGACAAAAACGATGTAAAGATCTGAGCACGATGTTTGGCAGATACCTGATATATAACAGGCAGAAGTATAAAATAGTTGATTGTAGAATGTGAGTTCCAAATAGGAAAAACATCTTAGGAAAGTTCCAATGGCATCAGTGGTTGGACTGAAAAAAGAGTAGACTCTTGGTCAACGTATCTCTGTAGTGTGAGAATAGGAATGAAAATGCCTAATGTCATATTTAATTACATTCATATTGCTTAAGTCAATTCAGTTAAGATAAATTGAATAAAATCCTTCAAGTATACAGTGTTTGTTTTGTGTAAAGAATTAACGTGGTGTTTTAGGAACTTTGGCCAAGAGAAAAAAAGCTGTCATAAATATTTTACAATGTGTTGTTATTATTTACATTGACAATAAAATAAGAAAAGGCTTCTCTTCAGGAATTTTATATTCATTGCCATGAGGCAAATATTGACTAAGATGTTTGTCAGCATTCAGTTTTAAGCGTGATCGTTTTTGGTAACTATTGAAATAAACTGTCAAGATGAAGTTTAACATTTGAAAAAATTGGCCAGTTTTCATGGTGGTTGTCAACTGAAAATTGAACAAGGCGGATTTTCCAGATCAAATGTCATGACCTGATCCTGAATGACAATTTGCTGTACTCCAGTGGATCTTCTTAGTGGCATTTCTAACATTTGTAGTGAGTTGAAATCTGCTTCAAATGGAAATCACTTGGAGGAGGATATTTAAAATAGAGAAGCCCACCCAGACGCCACCCTTGGAGATCTTGCTTCATCAGGAAAACGATCAGAAATCTGTACTTATGAAAAGCATCCCAGATGAGTCCAGTGATCTTCAGAATTTGGGAAACACTGATCTTTTGGTCTAACACATCTTTATTGCAGTCTTAAAAAAAAGTGCATGGGATTTTACAAATCTTTACAAAGATTCACATAAATATACCTTCTAGTAATACATATGTAAACCAGATGTGAATGATTTTGGAGAAAATTTAGTTATGTGATATATTTATACAGGGGCCTTAAATAATTACAGAAATAAAAATCTTAAGAAGGTTCAACATAAAAACTAGATTTTTGACGTTGACATCGCCATAAGTTTGATAGTCATAAAATATTTCTCACTGAGACACACTATAGACAATTTTTATAGTGGATATTTTTAAAGTACAAAATGTTTATGATTCATATTTTATCACTTATTTCTTAGACTAAATAGTATAGGGTTAAAGTTATACGAATTGAGTTAAAGCTCTTTCCCTTGGGAACTCTTATACGGTACTTAGAATTTAATTTTTCTCTCTCTTTTTTAAAGCCAGAGCTACTGCAGTATCCTGTCATCTCACAATTTCTTTATAAAGCAGTATCCTAAAATATTCCCACAGCAGAAAATCAGACTGCCAAAACTCTTCAAGCAGGAGGTCAATAGGTAATGATACCTTCTCTTCAAAGCAAGGTTGATGTGTGTGCATGTGCGTGTGTGCACACACTCATGAAAGCACGAGTGGAATGGAAGTACGATATTTGGTCAGTTCCCAGCTGTCCACACTATCCAGCGGTCAAGGAAATGGATATTCGTAGGGAAGGGTAAATTTATTTTCTTGTTGAGTAAAAGATCTGTCCACTGCTGAAGAGCATATTTATTTAAACTTTTATCTTTTTTTGCAGAAGGTTAGCCCTGAGCTAACATCTGCTGCCAATCCTCCTCTTTTTGCTGAGGAAGACTGGCCCTGAGCTAACATCTGTGCCCATCTTCCTCTACTTTATATATGTGATGCCCACCACAGCATGGCTTGATGAGCGGTGCCATGTCCGCACCCGGGATCGGAACCGGCAAACCCAGGCTGCAGAAGCAGAACATTACGAACTTAACCTCCGTGCCAACGGGCTGGCCCCATTTAAACTTTTTTCAAAGAATTGTGACCTTTTACTGATGAGTGGCAGTGTTTATAAAAAGGATTAAAGTGTTCTTTAGGGTTTCATGAGAAACTTCCCTGTAGAAATGGTAAGTGCTTGTGGGTGGAGGATATTTGGAGGTGTGCTATGTGTCAAGGAATAAATGACAAAGTCAGAGGGCCACTGACTGGGCTGCAGCTTCTAGATGGACAAGTATTTAAAGGTGTTTCACGTATTTCTAAAGGCAAAGAATGAGACTGCTTCAGTGTGTTGCAGGAGGTGTGACTGCCTTCTCTGTGCGGGAGGAGGATGGGTTGCTGGGTCACGTTGTGATGCTACTCCTTTCGAATTGTCCCTGGCCCTGGTGGGGTTCTTACAACAGTTCAACATCAGGCCAGGAAAAGCATTCTCTCCCCTTAGACATCATTCCTACAGAGGAGCCCTGAGAATCTCAGAGCGGAGATGCACCCCCCACCCATACTACTCAAGGAGACTTGATCTGCCCACACGCTGGACCACCTCACTGCCCCTCTGCCCAATTGTGCCTTGTATAACTTCTGTTGCCCTATCTGTAGCATTGTATTTCACTTGTATATTTATTAGTCTGTGTTTGTATTTCTCACACTTAGCAGAGGGGCTGACACATCATTGGGACTAATAAATGTGTGTTGCTCCCTGAGCAAACTTATTTACTGGCTTTCTAAGGATGTTAATCAAAAATATGTTTTATCTATTTATGTCACCAATATAAAGATAAAAATTCAAACAAAATTATCATCACAAATTATGTGCTCAGGAGCTGCAGGATGTCAGCATGGGTGACATGGACCTACTTCATTACATAAACTTTCTTTTTATTTATAGCAGTTGGGGTAATATGTGGAATATATCATATTAGTTAACTGGGAAAAATCTCTGGAAGATGGAGTTGCTCTGCCTTTTCAAGAACAATTCTGTTAAATGGATATAAATCTCATGAAAAATAGAGATTCAAATATAACATTTTACAGCACCTTATCTACCCTCTGGATCAAACTATGTCCCCAGATGGGAGGCTCCCTGGCATGATGATGCAAAGCTTATACTGTGATTTAGCAAATTAACATCACTCCATAGAAGTATCTAATAGAAAAATGTAATTTTTATTCCAAGTATGCTCTATTGCTGTTCTGTTCTAATTGATCAGAGTGAAAGCTATAAACTTAGCTCAGTCTGTAGAATAAGGGACCGGGAGCTGTTATGGAGCGCTGAGAAGTCTAACTTGCCAACGTATTTCTTCATTAACTTACCAGCATTGGGTCTACTTCTTTAGTTAAGATGTTATTTTCAGAGGACTACAGAGAGGCATACCAGTGCCCATAAACACACTTGGTAATGGAATATCACCTTTATATTTTTTAAGAAACAAAACCCCGAGACCCAAGATTGATATTAATAGCCAAACTGTGGTTTGAAGGTAAAAATAATGGGCCACCAAATACACAAGGACTCAGGAAATACGTTATATTAGTTAAGATTTGTTGTTCTGAGAGAAACACCAATCGATTTAGCTCAAGAAGCAAAGGGAATTTTGAAGATCACATTTCTGAAATGTTTGAGAGTAGAGCTAGCTTCAGGCTTAAATGGTGACATTGGGACTCAGTTTCCCTCCTTATCTCTGCCTCATCTTTGCTGGATTGGTTTCAGCTTCACTCTCTGTGTGGCATGTGGGACAGACCAGAGAAATTTCTTTTAAGGTTCGGATGAGGAAAGAGGTGGTCTCTTGAAACAGGTGCAGCGGAAGACTCAGCGCATGTCTTGTTGGATTGCGTCTCTTCCCTGGATTGTCGCTGTGCTCTGATCTGCTGGTCCTGAGTCACACGCCCATCCATAGAAGGGGAGTGTTGTTGACACTACATGAAGCATGTAGGATAAGAGTAGGAGAAGAAGTGAAATCTCGGAAGAAAATTAAGATATTCTTAATACAAAAATGGTCAGTGGACACATAAACCTTGATTAAAATTTTCTTGAAGACATGCTAGTCTACAGGAGGTTGAATAAAAATTAAGAAATTAAGAAAAAGAAAGCAATACTTTGAGAAATTGGCAGTGAACTTTGAAATCATATATACAAAGATTTAAGACTAAGTAACTATGGAAACGTGGTTAAGAAACAGGTTGTATAAGCTGTAATTATTGAAAGAAATGATTCTAATAATAATAATAATTTTCCTGAGACAAAATTTCCAGACTATATCTAGAAACAGCAGTAGAGGAGAGAGTGGGAAGCATGATCCTGTGTTTACTTTTTATAGAAGTAAATAGAGCATGCTTTGGTTCTAAAATTTGTAAGATAATATAGATTTCAAGTTTTATTTAGAGATAAAAAAATCACTTTTAGAACTAAAAATATGCTGTATAACTTTAATATTACCATAGGGGAACCAAATGAAATGCACAGACTACTTGTCAAAAGAAAAAAAAAACAACAAAACTCAAATGAAACTTCAAGGATGTGTTAACAAAAACAGAACATAAAATAAATGACTGATGATCCATCATACAAACACGTTACAGTAATAAATGCAGCATATTCTCAGATTGGATCTAAAGTAAATTCCAATTATTATATTCTGCGCTAAGTTTAAAAAATAAATGGCTTGGAAAGTTTAAAAGGAAAAAAGGATAAAACTATGCCCAGCAAATGCATGCCACAAGGAAACAAGATTTGCAATATTAACATCACGTAAAGTAGAATTTGAGATTAAAAAGAAATAAATAGAATCAGGAAGGTCACTTTTTCATTCATTAAAGGCACCAGTCAAAATTAAAGGTATAGCCTTAAGCAACCTCAAGATTCCAGATAAGGTAGAAAAGAGAGAAGTACAATAATAATTTGGGACTTTCCATGTATGGGATGTCAGCTTTGGTGTTAGGTTACAAGATGACTGTGGCTTCCAGTTGGAATCCTTCTCTCACTTTTATCGTCTCTCGTGATCCCTCTTGGATCCTGTCAGGGGGAAGACAAATGCCATGTCATGAGGCAGCCCTTGGACAGGCCCACGTGACCAGGCCAGCTGTCCCATGAGCGAGCTGGGAGTGGAGCCTGCCTCAGTCCAGCCTTGTGGTGATTCCAGCTCCCGCTGATTCCTCGAGGTAGCCGTACGTACGAGGCTGTGAGATAATAAATGTTTATTTTCCTCAGCCTCTAAATTCGGAGTAATTTGTTTTGCAGTGATAGATAATTAATATGATGAATTTACAAAAGTTATCACTTATGGAATTACAAATAAAGAAGTAATATTCACAGAGAGAGCTTGTTCGCAAACATTCCCTGACTGCAGTGCCATAGGACAAATTAATATTGGAATTAGAATAAAAATAGCTAATAATTTAGAAACGTAAACAATAGCCATAGCCGAAAACTCAAAAACACTCTCCTAAATAATTATTAGGTCAGGCGCCGGCGTGGTGGCGGAGCGTTCAAGTGCACACGTTGCGCTTTGGCGGCCCGGGGTTCCCCAGTTCGGATCCCAGGTGTGGACATGGCACCGCTTGGCACGCCATGCTGTGGTAGGCGTCCCACATAGAAAGTAGAGGAAGATGGGCACGGACGTTAGCTCAGGGCCAGTCTTCCTCAGCAAAAAGAAGAGGACTGGCAGTAGTTAGCTCAAGGCTGATCTTCCTCAAAAAAAAAAAAAAAAATTATTAGGTCAAAGAGGGAATCAAAATTGCATTATAGTTTAATTAAAATAAATAAAATATAGGGGCCGGCCCGGTGGCTGAGTGGTTAATTTTGCGCGCTCTGCTTCGTTGGCTGGTTTTTGCTGGTTTGAATCCTGGGCGTGGACATGGCACCACTCATCAGACCATGCTGAGGCAGTGTCCCTCATGCCGCAACTGGAAGGACCCACAACTATGTGCTGGGGGGCTTTGGGGAGAAGAAGAAGGAGGAAAAAAGAAGATTGGCAACAGATGTTAGCTCAGGTGCCAATCTTTAGAAAAAAATAATTAAGAAAGCACACTTACAGGAAAATTCATAACAATTGTTCACATCAAAAAAACCCCAAACTGTCAGAAATCAGAAAAAAACCAATAAAATATACCTATAGAAACAAGAGAAAGAGATTAATACTGATAAATGCTGAAATTAATGAAGTCAAAAACACAGGAGATAGTTCATTTCATAATCTTATTAAAAAATACAAAATGAATAAGCGTCTAGCCTTATATAATACATAATAAGAGAAAATACTATTTGGAATGAGAAATGATACACAGAAAACTAAGAAAATCATCACATGATAGAACACTTTATATAACTTGAGGCTAATTTGGTAATCTAGATGTTATTGGTTAATTTTCTAAAAAATGTGTACTACTAAATTCATTCAAGAAGATAGAAATAAATTGTGGTATAAATAAAAGTGTGAAAAGCACTCTTCAAAAATAGGTTTTGAAGCAAAAAAAGAACAAAAATAAAAAAAATACCCTTAGCCCAAGTGATATCGCTAGAAGTTTCTTTTAAATGTCCAAGAAAAGGTAATTTCTATGC